AACTTGGATCTACGTTCAATTTGTGGCAGATTATGCTTGGATCTATGCCAGGCATATCGGCAGCTGACCATGCAAATGACGTCTTATTTTTCCTTAGAAGTTCAATCAAAGCTTCTTTTATTTCGCCAGTCAAAGTGACTCCAATTCGGACTTTCCGATCTGGTTTGTCTTCTTCCAATGCTACTTCGATTACTACATCGTCTTCTTTTTGCCCACTAGGAAATCTTGGAATTTCCTTCTTCGCAGGTTTCGTTAATTGCTATTGGATCTTTAGTCGATGACTGGTTAGATAACACGTTCGCGAAGCTTCTTGACTTCCTCGAATTGTTTCCACTCCACTAGGAGTTGGAAATTTGATGCATTGATGATACGTCGAGGGAACTGCCTTCATTTGGTAAATCCATGGAGTCCCAAGGATGATGTTGTAGGCTGCCGGTTTATCAAAAACAACAAAATCTACTATCTTTGACACGTTTTTGGCAAGAACTGGTAGCTTGATCGTCCCGAGAGACATGGCCGATTCGCTTGTGAATGCCACCAAAGGAGACGGCGGTCCTACTATGTCTGCCCGACTGATTCCCATCCTTTCCAGGGTACCTAAAAAGATTAAGTCGACCGAACTGCCCGTATCAACGAGAATTCTCGAAACTTCGAAGTTGGCAACGTCTAAGGTAATGACTAGGGCGTCATCATGAGGCCTTTCGAGGTGACACGTTTCTTCTTCGTCAAATGATATTGACGCGCCTTGAAAGTCCATTTCTTCGCCTAAATTCGCTTTAAATAAAGCATTTCGCCTATGCTTCTTTATGGCATTGATCGTATCCCGACAAAGCTTGGAACCTCCAATGATTACGTTGATTTTTCCCTTCGAACTTCTAGGTTCTTCTTCGTTGGATTGCCTAGGTCTTTTTAAATTCTGATCTTTAGGGGTATCCTTTGCCTCGTGATATTCTTTCACGAAATCTTCTATCTTGAATTTAGAAAGATCTCCACTGGCCCACAGCTCTGCGAGGTGTTTCTTGAGGACACTACAGTCTTTGGTTAAGTGTCCGGTTACCTTATGGATGTCACAATACAAACTTTCGTCACGGACCCAAGTGTTCGACCTCCCTTTTCCTTGAAATTGTTTCCCGACGGTATTGTTGAGGGGTTGCGATCCGAACTTTTTAGGTCCTTGGTTCTCTCTGGGCTCAAACTTTTTGGTAGGGAAAGTGACCGCTGGTTTTGCTTGTTTGTTCCTTTTCGCAAAACTCTCTTTTTCGTCCTCTACTTCCATCCAGTTATTTGCACGGAAAAGTGCGTCTTGAATTGTGTCCGGTTTGTGAAGTATTAGATCTTCTTTGAACCTCGAGTCATGCCATAAACCTTTTCGTAGGGCAGATAGAGCTGACTGCTGCGAGATTCTTGGGAGTTTTGACAGCACCCCTTTGAACTTGGTGATGAAAGTTCTAAGTGACTCATTTGGCCCTTGTGTTAGATTCCAAAGGTCAGCATCCGAAACGCTTTTATCCATGAGGATAGAATATTGTTTCAGGAATACAGCCGATAGCTCGTCGAAGTTACTGATTGAGCCTGGTTCTAGCTGAGTGAACCACATTAGTGCTTGACCGCAAAGGTTTTCCGAAAAGAGTTTGCAGTATCCTGCATCTTCATCAGCTTCATCCAATTCGACTCTTCCAGCGGCAATCAGAAAAGCTGCGAGATAGCTCTTTGGGTCTTCTAGTCCACTGTACGGATCCAGTTTGAGTTTCCGAGAATCCTTGATTCTCAAATTTGCAATTCGCGGAATGAAAGGAGTTCGCCTAGCTTCCTCGATGACTCGGTTGATGTCCGGCTCCGAACTGGTGGCCTGGTGGAACTTTGACTTCATTTCTTTCAGTTCCTGGCTGACCTTCCTCATGGTTTCGAGCTGATCGAAGCTCTCTTGATCATACTGATCTACAAGCTGATCTTCATCTCCGAGCTGCGTCTCTTCTTCCACATCCGGTTGAATTGTTGGGTTAGAAGTTGTTTGTTCGTTGGTTTCATTTCGTGCACGGGAGTTCGGCGTACTGAACATGCTTCTTCGGACTCCCACAGTGTTTCCTGCACCTAGAGAACGAACACGAGATTGAATAGTATTGACGCTTTGACCAAGAGATACCTGGGTTGTTTTAAGCGTCTCCACAGCTTTTTCCACATCCGAGAACTTCTGCGACATTTCTGTTATGGCTTGCTGCATGGTCTTGAGAGCCTCGGCTACTGACGAATCAGGGACGCTTGCTCCAGACATTGCTGCTTATCTCGGAAATGAGAGAAATCTGACAACTCAAGAATCTTCTAGGTCCCCACAGGCGGCGCCAAAATGTGGATGTCGGATTCGCACACTTGAATATTTGTTTAATTAGTGGGAATGATTATTCTTGAGGACAAAAATATGATGAAAAAGCTATGAATAGGAATGACTATAGTATATTTGCTAGAAAAATTGCGTATGCTTTACATGGCTATTAGCCCTCTTATTTATATTGACAAACGACATTTAACTCTCAATTAAACACAATTATTCTCTCTTAAATGTGTCCATTTTGGTCTTCAACTTTAATGCTCAACGTTTGAATTTGAATTGATTTCGATCTTCATGGGCTTCGCCTTTTGGCCCAAGTTACCTTGAGCTGTCCTAACTTCTGCTTTGATTTCGGGTCACTTCCCGAGGTATGACCACTCCGGGCTCTCTTTATGGTGACGCCCACTTCGATTATATCTTGTGATCCATGGGCTTAATGGACCTTATCCCTTTGCGGGCCTTCATCTTGATTACGTGGCAATCTTTGGTTGGTCCCGGCCCACTGGTGCGGGATCCGACACCAACAATCATGTTCGATATATTCACAAAAGTATCTAGACCAACTCTCGTCTGTATCTAACTACTTCTGCCCACCTAAGATAGTTCTAGTAATAAGCGCACTCTCGTGTCTAATCTATTATCCTTAGATCAAGTTCTAGTTAATTACTCTAGAAGTAGCATTAAGAACAATCAAAGATGAAGAACTCTAGAGATTTATTTTCCTAACAGGTTATCGATCTACTAATTCATCCAAATCCCTAAACCAAACAAGAGGACTACTCAGACATGATTATCGAAGAACAAAACATGTTTTAAAGTAGGAATCTTGTAAGAAAACAAGAAGAGAATAGAGTTTTGAAGAATCTTCTCTGGAGGGAGCTCCACATGGTTTACGTCCAAGAACAAAATAAAAATAAAGCTTAAGTGTAAACAATGACCTTAAGAATATATTTATATTGTCTTAAAAACGTGTAGAGACTTTTTTGAAAATAGAGAAAAATTTTGGGATGATTCTGCAAATATTCAAAACTTCAAAAACACACGAGATCGAATTGCCGTTAGATATTGGTGTCGACCGACACCAGGGGTGATGTCGATCGACACATACACCAAGATTGGTCTCCGGACTGCTCTTGTAGCATAACATCTCGTTTTTGCTCTAGAATCATCCATAATCTCCAAATTGGTTCCGTGCATGCATAAACCTGAAAAATACTAGAAAAGACTCTAGAAATAACAAAAATACTCTAATAATAATACCTATATCATGGTTAAAAAACCGTAAAAACCATGATATATCAATATTATTAGGGGAGATTTTAATTCATTTGATTAATTATCATGAAATACAACAAGTCATTTATATTAGGGTTTCGTGCAAAACCCTTCAAAGTCGCCAATTTTTGCAACTTTACCTTCAACCTCTAAAAAATGTAGAATAATCACATGAAGTAAAAAATAATACGCATTATAACCCCTTTTCGCTATTTTCATGTTTTTAAAATTTTGATAAATAATAGATCAAATTGAAGCCCTCGAAACGAGGAGTTCAACTTTACCCTTAAAATTTGAAAAACCAAATTTATGTGATCGTGAAAACGTTTACAATATATTTATAAGGGCTATATTGCAGTATTATTTTTGACTTCATATGATTATTCTGCATTCTTCGGAGGTAGAGGATAAAATTGCAAAAATTGGCGACTTTGAGGGTTTTTTTTGCGCAAACCCTTTATATTAATATCTTTTTTGCATCAACATCTCTTTTCAAATCTACGTAATACATTTTTAGATTTTTCATTTATGATTAAATCATCTTTCATTCCTTAAAGTTGATTTGTATAATTAAAAAAATTATGAAAAAAAGAAAATTATGCAAAAATATATTTTAAAAAATTATCAACTCTTCTAGATCTTTCATATATTTGCAAAGTTAACTTTCAATTACAAGATAAATAGGCTAAAAGTGAGAAAGGTAAAAATAAACTATTTGCTCCTTTTTTTTTCTATACATTTTTTTGTCATATAATAGATTTTTTACTTCTTCTCGATAATGTGCTTATTTAGCGTAGATATCTTTTATTTTTTTTGGTAAATTACTTACTCAGATTTCTTATAAATGCATATTAATCTTTTGGTTTCACTGAAGCTTTTTTTGTTTTGGTTTGAATTCAATCGATTTAGTATGGTACGGTGGATTTGGTAGACTTATCCATTGTTGAAGAAACAATTGAGACGATACAGCTATTCCTCTCACGCCAAAATGAATCTTTTTTTTTTTTATCATTCTCTCTCCCTCTGTTTTTTTTTTTTTTTTGGTAAAATGTGAAGTATTTATACCATTTTCAAAGTTTCGACAGAAATTACATAGAAGACAAGAAGCGGAGAAGAAAACCAAAATCTACAGAATAAACATACATAACAAAACAGCAAAGGAGGAGTCCGAAAGTCCAAAGCAGAAACGAAAGAAGAAACACCGATTCCGAGAAGCCAATCTCAGAAATTTGCGTGATTTCCACAACTCCAAAGAGCTGGAGTCCCATCCTAGTTGCCACGAGCAAACTCTAATAGAGGCCAGTCCTCAAAACCTCCGGATAGAGCGCCTACAGCTTCTCCGCAAACTAACGCAAAAACGCGATGACAACAATGGACTTTTTCACAAACCCGACGGTTACAGGAGCATCTATGGGCAATCAGAGAAACCACCTCCGGTCGCCATTCCTATACAAAAGATAGGAACCATCTCCCACGGATCAGCAATGCCACGTAGACCAAAGCGCCGCCTCTATTCTTCTCAAGAAGACTCCACTCGGACAAGATGCACACCTCCTAAAACTGATACACTTAATAAAAACCACCGACATCGAACCACCGGTTAAGAGAAAAGGAAACCTGGCGAGAAGCCACAAAAAAGCAGCGACGGAAGACAAAACTGACACCAATGTCCTCCCACAAGCAGAGGAGACTCGCCGTAACCAAAGAAACCCACCGACGGCGAGCCTAACCGCCACACGAACAACCTAAAGCAACAAAAGCAAAGCAATCAGAAGCTAAGGAAGCCTCCACTTGTGCCACAGATCCGAAGTCCTCACTCTCAACGACCGGAAACAGGAGAAAAACGATGAAGGAGAGACCGAGGAGGAAACCAACAAACAGAAGCTCCGTGGTGAAGCGAAGGAACTAGAACAACCCCAAAACTGAATAGGAAGAAGGCGAGAAGAGACCGGCTAGCTACACCGGAATCCAGAGACGCCACCAGCACAACCACCATAGCGTGACTGAGCTGCTCCCACACCTCAACAAAGCCACCTGAACCAAGATCTGAAAACCAGATTGTAACCATAGCAATAGAGAAGAACGAGCCACCAAGAACCACCAGAGATGCAGCTGAGCACACGAGCCACCGTCCTCAAGCAGCCATGGCATCAGCGACCCAACCCCTTTAGCGAGAAAGCTCTCCCCATGCGACGGCACACCACCAACCCGAGGCTTCAGAAAAGAGGGGCAGAACCACACCGCCACCACCAGAGCAAACAACAGCACGAGACAGAACGAAAAAGGAGCCACCACCGGAAGAGTACATCTTAGCAAAAAGAGCCAAAAACGAAGTTAGAGAAGAGGTAAACACAAGTTCACCAACGCCGGCAAAAACTGAAATCCACCAGCCACCAATCTGAGGAGATCGATCTCCGAGCAAGAAGCAAAGAGGAACTTTCTGCCACGAACCAAAACAAGCAGCACCCGACGCGAGCTACACCATCAGGGATGCCTTCACTCAAACTTAATCACCGTCCTTGAGCAATCATGGGAAAGAGGGAGGCAGCCGAGAAGATGGAGTTGCCTTTGTCAAGAGGAGAGCCTAAGCAAACCGCCGCCGATTTGGCCTCAGATTGAGACTCCGACCCGAAGAAAAACTCAGATCCGCCGTGAGTACTAGAGAAAACTTTCCAGGGATGAGAGGAGCCGACAAAGAAGACAACGGGAGCCCTCTCACGGTACCGGCAAGGAGTGCCGGTGACCGGAGAGGCGAACGCAACGATCAGATTAGGGTTTGACGGCTGGGAACGATCAGATTAGCCCTCTCCCTCTGTTTTAAAATGACTCTTTTGGTTTTGGACTCTCTTCGTTTTTCGTATTAGAGTGTTGGTATCATCTAATACTATGGAGTTGGTTCCCCGTATTGCATGATTTTGATTACAAAAGCCTCATACATTTCAAGGTTTAGTGTTTTCTAATCACTCGGATTTGTGTCAGGTGAAATGGATAGTTACTGGAGATTGAAAAACTTGGTTAGTATACTCCATTGAGTCGACAAGGATCAAGTATACTCATTGACAGTAGATTAGTTTCAGACCTTCTTAGTGCTTAGGAGAATATATCTAGAGCTGAAGAAAAACAAGAGGGTTTGCAGAGGCAAGGCTCGGATACTTATCTGAAGAAAAACTGTTGATGGATAGCGGATCCAGGATTACTTTTTACCCAGGTCAAACATAGCTAATATAAAAAAATTTGTCAAGCCAAATGTATTTTTCTCATAACAATAAGTAAGATATTGAAATTTAGGGAGGTCACATGACCCTCCTTTCTTACACGTAGGTCCGCCACTTATTGGAGTTTTTTACCTATCTGTTCCATGATCTTAGACCATAGACTGAGAGAAGTTTCAACTCCTTTATTTGAACTATCTATACATCCCAAACAGAACAACATCTTCATGTCAGTAACAAAAAGCAATCAAAGAACTTTATAAAAAGCTTTAAAAATCTATACTTTCATAACAGTTGACTTAGAGTTATCATTGGTGCAAAAAAGGTTTTTGGTCGTTCCATAACGGCTGCAGCGGCAGCAACGAGCAAAAGACCTGAGGAGGAAGAAGATAACCGATGCCACCACTTGGTTCGATGAATGCACTCTTCAAATTAGAGTTTGGTAGAAACCGGATGGAACCATGTGAAACTCTCTGTTCATGTCTGTTCCATGCTCTTAGACCACAAATTTCAAAGATCTAAGAGAAGTTTCAGTCTTTCGTTTGATCTAAACACATGACATCCCAAAAAGAACAAAAACATCTTCACATCATCAACAAAGGCAACCAAAGAAATCAATATAAGTTTCAAAAAAGCAAGACTTTCAGACACCAATGTCTTTGGGTTAGAGTTAGAAGTATCTTTGGTGCAAAGAAGTTTTTTTTAGACGCTCCATAGGAGCTGTAGCGGAAACCACGAGCAAAAGACCTGTGGGTTCTGCACAAAAAAGGTTTCTTGCAGTGTACGTTGGTGACAGCCTGAAGAAACAAAGATATACATGTATTACGCGAAAAATCCTTTTTTCAAGCTCTTCTTAGTAATTCTGAATATGAGTTCAGGTTTAATCACCTGATGGGCGGCTTGACGATACTCTGCTCACCGTAACTTCTAGGATCGAAGAATGATGATCGTCCGACGAAAAACCTAACTGTAATTAGATGAAAAGTTTTTAATCTTTATACTTGAAAGAGTTGTTAGTTTGTTACGGACTATATAAAAAAAAATCGATTTGAATGTCAGTTTTGTGTAATAATCATCGAATCAAACAAAAAGTCCTGAAAGATTTCCCACATTTGTTCATGTAATGAAATTACAGTACACTGTTAAAATTCAAATTGTTTTTCATTTTATTACAGATGAGTTAAATAGTTGAAAAGATCAATAATAGTGATAAAGAAGATAAAGAAAAACTGAAGTTGCAGATACACATCACCTCTTATGTGGCCCAATGAAGTAAAGTAATATTTCAATCCTCAAAGAAGAGATTAAAATTTGCAGATACAGAGAGCTTTCAAATTCCTCAACATTGTACAAAATCTATCAACATTTAGATTAGATTACCTTTTTAGTGTCTGTTTCCATTACTTCATCACAGACTTCAGTTTCAGAAATCACTTTTTGAAGATTCATCTAGGAAGCTCCGAGAGTTGGAATACCCCACATTCTTTTATCTTCCAATACTCACTGCTGATGTTGAACTCTAAGACAAGATCACTGGAAGTCACATCTGCTTTGACTTCAAATACGTACATATGCTCTTCTAAAACTGGATATAAATAACACATACTATATTTACAACTAACAGTGCAGCCATATTCATCAATCCACTTTTTATCATTGTCACCTTTATGAACCAGCAAAATGCAAGCCTTAAACCGCATGGATGCAGGAAGAGGCTTCTCGTTCATCTTGATTGTCAAGGAACCTCCAGTAGTAGATTGGTGAGTGAAGTATGCAGGCACTTCTCTACCGGGTAAGACCGCATAAATACTAGTCGGTGACCGGATGATGAGGTCTCTGGCTTCTTGATTCAGTTTGAAGCACTTAGCAAATTTGAGCGAAATCTTTGGATTGTAAAAGGACCAATCTAGTCTCTCCAGGGACTCACAATCTTCTGCATCTATGTAAGAGATGGAATCTGGAATCTGTGGGAGTGATGCCAGCTTTTTGCATCCCTTGACCACAAGTGTATTCAAACGAGAGAATTTCTTGATCCATGGGGGAACCTCTTGTATTTCTGTATTGGTCATGTGCAGCCTTGTGATGATGTCAAAAGCATGAGGAAAGTTCTTGAGATTTTCACTGTATGACATGTGCAACTCAGTGAAATGAGACCAAGATTTGATTGATGAAGGGACTTCTTTCATTGCAGTTCCATCGAGCGTGAGAACTTTAAGTCTTGTGGAGATCTCAGGAAAACTTTTCAACAGTATGCAATCAGTGAGATAAAGTATCTCGAGAGATTTCAAGTTGATGTTGATCGGAAGAAACCCTAGCTTAGAGCATCCTCTTAATACCAAAGTCTGCAACTTCTGAAGGTTTCCAATAGAAAAGGGAAGCTTTACCAGATTTGAGCAATGGTGAAGGTTTAATTTTTCTAGATTTGTGGCATTTCCAATCGAGGAAGGGAGCTCCACCAGACATGATAAACGGCTAAGATCCAATTCTTTTAGATTGATGAGATTCCCAATAGAGGAAGGGAGCTCCTCTAGACATGATAAACTGCTAAGATCCAATTCTTTTAGATTGATGAGATTCCCAATAGAGGAAGGGAGCTCCACCAGACTTGAGCATCCATCGAGATATAATAACTCGAGATTAGTGGCATTCTCAATAAAGAAAGGGAGATTTATCAGACTTGAGCAATTACGAAGGTTCAACGTTAGAAGATTTTTGGTATACCCAATAGTGGAGGGGAGGTTCATCAGTCTGGAGCAACCACTCAGATTCAATTCCTGAAGATCAGTGGCAGTTGAGAGGTCAGGAAGCTCCTTTAAGAGGAGAGACAATCTCAAATCCATCCACTTGAGATTTGGAAGCGGCTATACATACAAATAATAAGAACATGTATATACACTTAATTAGAAAATTATTGGACGTAAAAACAGACTTCCATGCTATTTAGTAATTAATTAAAATAAATTGTACAAAAGATAAATTATGAATTTGAAATTAATAAAATATCTAAAAGAAATAAATCAAAATTACTTACTTTAATTCCTTCCCACAACTTCTCAAGTTTGCTGTAAGGCATGTCTAGTTCAACCAAGAACTCCGAGTTGAAAATAGGAGGCAAACATGTCATCGGAAAATAAGTCCAGTGTAGTAATCGAAGTTTACGAGATATATACTCTAAACCGTGCGGTAGATGTAATGTATTGTTATTCCCATTGAATTTTAAGAATTGGAGATTGGACATTCCTTTAAAGGCCCTCTCACTTATATGTAACTTTTCCTTGATCCTATTCCCACCAAAGTTGTAATTTATGCCTATGACACTTCTACTACCCTGAAAAAACAGAACATAAATAATATGAAATGGTCACTTATTAAATCAACACGATTTGTGGAGAGAAATGTCAAAACTTACGTTCGCATCAAGATTGAGTACTTCACAAATTTCTCGTGCATCAACCAAAAATAAGCGTTGTCCAGGCTCACGAATAGACTGTTTGCGGACAATGTCTATACCTAGTTTGACTAGCAGATCATGCATGATTATCACTCCGTTGTTCATAGATATGAGAGATTTCTCAGCTAAGATATTAAGCCGATGACTCACATCCAAGAAAGTCTCTGCAAGATAATCTTCCACTTTCTCAATCCTTTCATGATTGAAGAAGCAAGCTATATGAAGAAACAAATATTTGTCTTCGTCATCTAAGGCATCATAGCTGAACTTCAAAATGCTAAGAATATCAGCGTCAAGGCTACTCCTTAACCTTGGTAGTGCTTTCGTCCACTCCAGCTTAGACATTCCTCGAAAATAAGAGCCTATAACCCTAAGACCCAAAGGAAGTTCACCAGCAAGTTGTGTAACTTCCCAAGCAAGTTCTTCAAAACCATGTGTAGGGGAGTTTTGACCAAAAGCATATGTGCACAAGATTTGAAGGGCCTCATCAGTTGATGGAAAATCCACCTTGTAAATATGGTTAATCCCATGTTCCCTAAAAATCTTTCGATTTTGTGTTGTGATGATAATCCGACTCCCAGGACCAAACCACCAAGTTTCTTTTGCCATGGCATCTAGTTGCATTGACTGGTCCACACCATCAAAAACAACAAGAACTTTCTTGTCTTTTAGCCTATCTTGAACAACACCTAAATGAGAAATCCTCATATCACTCTGGTTGGTTATTTGAGACATAAACTGCTGTTGTAACTGCAACTTGGCACTATAGTCATCGGAACATGGTCTTGTATATTTTGCTTCGATAGATTCCATAAAGACACTTAGTTGAAAACTGTTGGAGAGTTTGTTGTATACAACTCTGGCGATGGTCGTCTTTCCAATCCCAGAAGGACCCCAAATCCCAATCATCCTCACTTCATTTGAGCCTAGGCATAACAATGGTTCCATCTTCTTCAAATGAGCAGTCATCCCAACCAACCCATCAAAATCACTTGATGAGGCAGAATTATTCAACTTGTTGGATATATCAGTAGCGATATTATTAATCATGGCCGCTTCATTATCCCTAACAACAAAGAAGATCACTACATCCATTAAATACTTATAGAAAATTCACACACATCAAAAAAAAAACTATGAAGTTCAATGGATATTTAAAAGAAGCTAGAAATGTAAATAGTTAGATGTTTGTTAGGAAATAGAAAACAACGAACCAGTTGGTCGAATGGTAACCGGCGATTGTGGCGACATTTGCCAAAGCTTGTCTCCATCTCCCAACGTGCTCTTTTGTTTTACCGGCACATGTTTTTTTGAAGACTTTTCCAAAATCTCCGGTCAGCTTCTTTACATCAGATGGATCCACTTTATAGAAAACAGCCAACACTGTTTGACCCAATTCTTCCCTGCACTTCATAATCTCCGCCAATTCGTCAAGACACCAGCTCGAAGAAGCGTAGTTTCTTGACAGCAAGATAATTGCGATCTTGGATTCTCTAATTGCTCGAATGAGTTCAGGACCGATGGATTGTCCTCTCTTGATCTCATTATCAATGAACGGTGTGATTCCCATTCTTTGAAACTCCATCTGAATGTGACTAAGAAAGTCTCTACGGACATCTTCCCCTCGGAAACTTGGAAACACATGGTGTGTCCAGATGCGATCCAAAGACGATGGTGGTGCTGATGAAGGAGCTAAAGAAGATGGTGTTGATGAAGAAGAAGGAGAGTTCTTTTCTTTGTTATCTTCTTGATGGAATCTGAGTGTTTTAAAAAGCGTGAAGAAGCCAATTGCAGCAGCAACAGTGGTAAGGATAAAAGAAGAAGAAGAATCCATTATTGGAGAGAAGATTAATATCAAAGAGCTTTAAAGATAACTATGTGAATGAAGAGAGAAGAGACGAATCTTTGTTATTCTTTAGAAAAATGAGATCCACTAACAAAAGAAAAGTTGAAGAAAATCTTAAATATGAAAACAGACTACTAGAAATAATAAGTCAAAAGTTAAGCATCGAGTTTTGGTACAGAGATGCCAATTTTCCAACATTTATAATTTTATATCTTCAACATTTATAATTTTCCAACATTTATAATTTTATATCTTCTATAAGTAAATATTAAACAAAGAAACATGTTTGAAACTATACTAGCAAAAAACAGAGGATTAGCTTCGTGTTTTTTCCATGTATCTACCTAATTGGTCCTACTACACTAGCAACTAGCAAGAGAGAGGAAGCTTCGTCCAAAGAAAAAAGAACAGTATCAAGTTTTCAATACAAACATGGTAACTTCTCCAACATTTATATCCAAAGACATGATTTTTGGAACAAGTCATGAAAATAGTTTGTTGAAATTCTGAATCTAAGAAGCAAATTAGCAACTGAAATCCGAATCTATGATGCAAATCAGAAATGGGAAACACAAGGAAGCAGTGACTAAAATCAATGTCTCTATCAAAAATCTAAAATTTATAGAAAATATGTGAAAATACTTACATCGAGTTTTGATATAGAGATGCCAATTCTCCAACATTTATAATAGTTGTGTCTTTTATAATAGTTGTGTCTATTTAAATGTTTTTGTCTTCTAAACTCTATATATTTGTCTATTTTCCTAGATACTTTACCTAAATTTTAATTTTGCTCTCGTGTTTTTCTGTCACAACTCTTCGTATCGATGGTTGTATAAAAATCATAATTAAGATTTTTAAGAGTGCGTCTCTTTATCTTAACTCTTCCTAAAAATATGTTTATTTAATAATATTTTGATAATTGTGTATATTTATTATTAATTTTCGTTTGATAATTTTTCATATAAAATTGCATCCAGTTTGGTTATATATACTTTTTATTTATATTTCTATTTATTCCTAAATAACTATTACTTTTGGTTACTTATTAAAACATTTCCAAGGTTTGCTTCTCTTTAACATAACTAAATCTCAATAAATGTTTTTTAAGGTTGCGTCTCTTATCATAATTTTTGTTTGAATACAGTTTTGTCAACTCATTATAACTCTTCGTTCGATATATTTTCACTTGGGATCATGTTTTTTTACCATAATGTTTTTCTACTAATAATATACTCCCTCCGTTCTAATATAAATGATGTTTTAAGCTTTTATTTTTGTTGTTAAATAGATGATGTTTTCAGTTTTTAATGCAATATTAATTAGTTTTTTTATTGGTTTTGATGATTTATATTATGCAGATTATTTTTCTATTGGTTGATTAGATAATAAATGATGTTTTTGTTTAGAAATAAACAAAAATTAAATGATTTCTTAATCGGTGTGCATTCTCCTAAAACATCATTTATAAAAGAACGGAGGGGGTAAGTCTCAATAAATGCTTTCGAGGGTTGCGTCGATTTATCATAATTCTTCGTAAATCTATCTTATATTAGTTATCATATTAAAAAAAATATTTTACAAGGTTGTCTCAATTCCTTATAAATTTTTGTTTGATATTTTCTACTTAGAGTCATGTCTCTCTCTCATAAATTTATTAAACTATCTTCACTTTTTGTTAATCATAAGTTTCAGTTTTGACGGTTATGTTTTTTACTAATTTTTATAAATATCATTGTTGCATAATTATCTATGTTCAAATCTACATAATGCATGTTGTTTACAATAACATTGGATTATTTGTAATATTATTAATAATTTTAAAGTTTATTTATTTAATTAAATTATTTCTTATATAAATACATATGAAAAAGATCTATACAAAATGAAAAAAAAAATTAAAAATTATCAACTCTTTCTTCTATTTACAAATTAACTTTCAAATATTAGATAGATGCACTAAGTGAAAAATGTAAAATAAATTATTTACTCCTTTTATAGTGCTTTTTATTTATACAATTTTTTGTTTTGTCAGTTTTTTTTTTGTCATCACCCTTTTTAAAATTTTGTTTTTGGGGAAAAATCCATTTTATTCAATTTATGTCTAGATTTTCTTACTTCATCTGGATAATGGTGCTTACTTTGCTTAGATATTATTATTTATTTTTTTGGTAAATTACCTTACTTAGATTTCTTATAAATGCATATTACCCATTTGGTTCACAACTTATGAGAAACTTTTAATTAAAAAAAAAAAAAACTTATGAGAAACAAAATCAATATTTTTCTTGATCATTTCTTTGTTCCTCTGTTTTAAAATGATTCTTTTGGTTTTGGACTCTCTTCCTCTGTTTTGCATGATTTTGACCACAAAAGCTCTTACATTTCAACGCTAACTGTTTTCTAAGGCCACTAATCACTCAGATCTGTGTCAGGTGAAATGGATAGTTACTGGAGACTGAAAAACTTGGTGAATGATTTGCCAGTTAGTACTTCTTTAAGCCGACAAGGATCAATATACTCATGGACAGTAGATCAGTTTCAGACCAGCTTAGGGAAAGATTGTGGATCAATGAACATGGATGAGTTGGTTAAGATGATATCTAGTGCTGAAGAAACACAAGAGGGATCGCAGAGGCAAGTCTCAACAACTCTGCCTCGAACACTTAGCCAAAAAACTGTTAATGAAGTTTGGAAATATATCTTAGAGGAAGAACACACCAAAAACAATGGAGGAGTAACAAACATACCTAATCTTCAGAGGCAACAAACCTTAGGGGAAATCACTCTTGAAGAGTTTTTCATCCGTGCTGGAGAAAGAGGAAATAATACCAATGGTGGCTCCATTCATGACTCATCATCATCGATTTCCGGTAATCCAAACACAAGTTTGGGTGTTCATATTCAGCCGAAAGCCATGGTTTCTGATTATATGAACAATATGGTTCCAAGGAGTCTTGAGTCTAATTTACATCAAAATGTGAATGGATCTATGTCAACATATCAACCACAACAATCTATCATGTCTATGCCTAATGGTTATTCTTACGGAAAACAAATCCGATTCTCGAATGGTTTCATGGGTATTGACCAAAGACTCCAAGAAAAGAAGATCAGAAGCTTGGTCCCAAGTGTTACGACAATTCCTAGTGGAGCCATAACATGTTCACCGGTTACTCCATTTCCAACATTAAATGGGATACAAAAAATCGATGGTGAGTCTTCATTACTGTCACGATCTCCATACATTAGTAATGGTAGTACTAGTACAAGGTGTGGGAAGATTCATAATGACATCACCGCAGAGAAACAATTCGTTGACAAAAAGCAAAGGAGAAAGATAAAGAACCGAGAATCCGCAGCGAGATCACGGGCTCGGAAGCAAGTAAGAAAATGTTTTTATATCTTATCTATACATCTTGATTGATTGTGTTTATACGTACCAAAACTTCTCATTTTGCCTTTCTAGGCTCAAACTATGGAGCTTGAAGTTGAACATGAAAACTTAAAGAAAGCATATGAAGAGCTACTAAAACAACATGTAGAGATGCGGAAAAGGCAAATCGAACCGGTAATCTATTTATTCCAAATCTTTTTTTCCTCCACCGGTACATCAATTGAAATATTTGCAACATCTAACTTGAAAACCTTGTTCTAACTATGTGTATATCTAAATAATACGTGAAGGGGATGATTAACCTTCAAGGAGGACCAGAGCGAAAGCTGAGGAGAACGAAATCAGACATCAAGTGAATCAATGAAACCGGAGTTGGAGGATAATAAGTTTATTTTGTTCATCATGTTTTGTTTTTGTATATTTTTGACCAAATAAGCTATTTTATTAGTCAGTTTGACATCTTATTCTTAAACCCATTTGGTAATGTCCTAAAGATCGAATTCTCATGGTCCAGGGGAAAAACCAAAACTTATTTTTATTGGAGCCAAAAAAATACTACTATTAATTATTATTATTTTTGTTTAGTAAGCTCAACAACAAAACTCTATAAGTATATTGTAAATAATCACTCTATAAGGCTCAATAATCGCTGCTAAAAAATTGCACTGTTGATTCATTATTAAGCACAGTTTTTTGACCCCCAAATCCTTCCTTGAAGGACACTACCTTACCACCTCCGCCGGTGGGAATAGTTCATAAAGCTTTTGCTGATCCCAACTACCTTAAGAGTTCACGAGGTGTGAAACAAATCTAACTATAGAATTTTATTTTTTCTCCTCCAAAACGTATGCCTAGTAGAAGTTATGAGGATCGTTACACTAAAACAACATTCTCTTTGAAAATTGAAGCTTGACAGAAATTCTTGAATGTCATTCCTTTTTCCTTAATCTTGTTTGATTAGGGGATTTATTAACAAGAGAAGCTACACAAATCTTATATATGAAAGGAGGATATCTCTCTCCATCCTTCCGCCACGTCAGCATTTTAGTATATTCTGGAACTGACACATCAGCTTTCTATTCTTCCAATCAAAACATTTCATTAATATGATTCAGCTTTTATTTTTTACACATTATCTTTTAATTAGAATTGTCAAATGGGAAAAAGACAATAGCCCATGAGGGATGGGCCATATGGATTTGAAAATCTATTTCACAAGTTAATAATATATTTATTATTTAATTAGATATATTATTTAATTTTACATATTGATTTCTACCAATACTAACTTATTTTGTTATTTTATGTTTTTTCAATGAAATTATTTTATTGGTTTTATATACTCCAAAGTTTTTTTTCGCTAATTTTTGTAATCTTAACTCAAAATATGAGTGGATAATAGTATAATAGATTAGCTAATGGTTTGAGTAAGTTTTTTTCTTAATTTTTTTTTATCTATATATGACACTGAGGGTGAAGAGTACGTAAGGTCATCAAATTTTTGAGGTTCTATAATCCCAACATTACAATCTATAAAATTGGTTTAGGACAAAGATTGTTTACGGATTGTGTGAGTGATGTATTGTTGAGTATGTTGGTTGAAAATGTATTTTAATACTAAGAGTAGTTGTTCATTCATCATTGCATGAGTAAATGATTAGATAATTAAAAATTACATTTATCAAAATATAACATCAAGTAAATCAAAATAAAAAAAAAACGGAAAAAACCCGCGGCGTAAAACGGATGATCAACTAGCAACAAGAACAATCAAAATATTTTGTTATTAACAACTTTTAAAACAAACCCACACGTAGTGGTGGGTATTCATCTAGTGTATGTTAACATTTATGGATACATAATACATTAACTGGCGCTAGATATAGTGATGCAAAAGAAAACTGTGAATTAGAAAACTTTTTATAAAACCAAAAATTAGACAAGGCAAAAAATGAAACATGTCAATCACATCATCAAGCAAAATTAAAGATTTGCGTCAGATAAACTTGTATTCGACGTCTATAAATTATTTTATAGAACTATAAAAGTTAATATAGGGAATGACGGTCGCTGAGGCATGGGATGGCCGTCGCCGCCGTAGACACCGAGTCGAACTCTTAAATCAGATGGAGGAGGCCTTGGAAAACAAAAAAACAGAGCAGAAATGAGAACGATGACATAGTTTTATGGAAAGGAAAAAACGATGTCTACAAAGCAAGTTTCTCCACAAAGGAAACTTGGCACCACACTCTCACCGTAGGAACCAAGGTCACTTGGCACCGAGGTATCTGGTTTACACATGGAACACCAAAGCTTTCTTTTTATGCTTGGCTTGCAGTCCGAAATCGCCTCTCAACAGAAGAAAGAATGCTTCTTTGGAACAGAGGAGCTTCGTCGATATCCACCTTCTGCAACAATGAAACTGAAACCCGGGACCATCTGTTCTTCGAGTGCAATTTCGTTTCTCAAATCTGGGAATCTCTAGCGAAAGGTCTTTACAAAACAAGGTACTCAACAAACTGGTATTCTCTCCTCAATACAATCTCTGCGGGTTGGCATGACAGAAATGAAAGCTTTATAGCTCGATACGTGTTCCATGCCACACTTTACACTATCTGGCGTGAAAGAAATGGTAGAAAGCATGGCGAGAAACCAAATCCAGGGCCTCTCTTGATCAAATGGATCGATAGGCTAGTTCGAAACAGGCTATCCTCAATCCGAAGCATGTGGGATAGACGCTACGACAAAGGCTTACAAATTTGGTTTCAATCTAGAATTTAGTCTTTAACACTTCAGCATTTTTCAGCAAAAACGTTGCATTCGTTGTACAAAAGTCATTTTTTCTTTTGAATTTAATTTGACATTTAATTCAAAAAAAAAATATAGGGACTGCAAAATTAATACATGTCAAACGACGTCGTAGCAATACTAATTTATTCGACGTCGTTTGGCATGTTACAATCTTTATGTCACCTAGGTTAACTTTTTGGTTCTATATATAAAAGGATCCTATTCACACTTTTTGGTTCTTATCCGCCGTATTTTGCTATAACAATCATTGCGGAAGCGTACCCCAAGAAGGTTTGTGTATCGATCACATCAATGAAGAAACCTCGAATTCGTTTTGTTTGGCAAAAGGTATGTGCTCATAAAATAGTGTTTAAGATTTTTTACATTCATTCGATTTTATTTGAAGCTCTTAAATATATGCATAATTTTATGTTTTCTTATTATTGAATACTCTTGGATTATTATTTTTATTTTTATCATTAGTTTGATGGTTTGATGTTTTATGTTTTGAGTCATGAATTTTTCAATGAAAAGATAAAAGAATTCAATTTTGGCATAAAAATCATCTAAATTTAATATAAAACATCTTCGAAAAAGTAGTTTGATATATATACTGCATCTTTAGAGGTAGAAAAATTATCTGAGATCCCATCTGATCTGATCCGAAAGATGGAATATATGAAACCTCTGAATCTTGATCCAACTATTTGATTTGGAAAAATAGGATATTCATATATGACTTGGATCTACTTCCAAATATAGTTTTCTTAAAATATCTTTATGTATAATAAATATAATTTACAAAAATATTTTATGGTGTTTTTGACAAGAAAATAAAATTGTGTGGTATTTTTAAGAATAATCCAAAAATGTATTATAAATAGATATAACAAAAAAAATTAAATTTTTGATTCCATTGGTGTAGAATGTGGATCTCACCCGAGTAATATTTTTTGGGTTTTTGGATCTAGATATTTTAAAGTGTACCACCTGTTGTATCCAACACTGACCATTCTTCAAATTATTTTATGTAATTCCAAAATATTACCAATTATAAAGCTTTACAAGAGGTGACCCAAAAAAAAAAAGTGTACATAAAGAAGCATAATTTTTGCATCATCAAAATATTTGTTTTGAATTATTCCACCATCATAATATATGAGTCAAAATATTTTTCCATAGTCAAAATATATTTTTTTAATTATTTTAACATAATATTATACTAGTCAAATAAAAGATTTATTATCTTTCTCATTTTACCATTCTATTGTATACATTTTTGGTCAAACATACTAAAAGACTTTGACTGAAAATTTTGAAAATAAATTGGTAAAATGGGAAAGAAAATAAATATTTTATTTGACTAGTATAATATTAGGTAAAATATATATATTTTTAAATCTGTTTACTTACAGAAATAAAAATACAAAGATTGTGTTTCTATAAATTCCAAATCTTATCAATCAAAGCTACCATAGATATATAGAAGAAAACTGTAAAAATTAAAATTTCAATATTTTATTTCTCTCTTTTTGATTTTTTTCACCGACTATATAAGAAGAGTGAAAACGTTTAAAGTCCTCACCACCCCAACTTTTGCTTTCTCGTTTTCTCTTTGAGTTCCCAAATTTTTCTCCTAAATTGTTTCATTGCACTCAGATTAAGCTTTTGGGTTTCTCTCAAATGCTTCTTCTCCTTCAAACTAGTTCTTTAGACTCTCAACTATTCACCAACTTCCGATTCTTTCAAAATGTTATTATAACTATTGAGAGTGAGAGAGCAAGAGAAGTAGCAACGATGAATGATTGTATATTGCCAAAACAAAACCCTTTCTTCCAAAGAGCTCTCATCAGAAACTACATTTTCTAAAAATCTACTCTTATGTCCGCGGTCTTGGAGACAACACTCTCGTCGGATACGGAGGTGACTGAAGATACGACGGTCAAAGAACTGAAGGAGAAGATCGTGGCAGCGGAGGTGAAATATCCGGTGAAGCGTTTAATACTTCTGGTCGGAAATGAAGAGAAGAGAAGGATGATAATGGAGAATAGGCAATTATGTTTTTTTTTTTTTTTTTTTGGATATCTGGAAGTTTAAGCCCGAAGGGCTTACATCTCCCAGAGGCGGGATCCACAACAGATTAAATTCATCTCCTTTGGAGAAGAGATCCCTCCCAACGTGCGTCGAACCCAGTACCTCCACCTGGGAGTTTTACCACTGGGCCAACACAACGTTGGTAATTATGTAATTTTTAGAAGTCTGAAAAATTTAACTCATTTCTTATTTTTCTTTATTCAGTTTGGTTTAATTATATTGTATGGATTGTAACTAGTCAAGTTTTTTGGTTTACTTATATAGTTATATTGTATGGATTGTAACTGGTCAAGTTCTTTGGTTTAAGTATATTGTATGGATTGTATAACTTGTCAAGTTTTTTGGTTTAATGAAAACTGAAGTCGAGTATCGTATGGTTGTTTTATGTTTCACATTCTTACTAAGCTTAATCTTGGTTGTTCAATAAATTTAACATGTGTGAAGCTATTCTTTGTTTTTACTTTTTGCCCGACTTATTAGAATATTGGATCATGTACGAAATATAATAATATATATTTTAAAGCCTATAATAAAGATTATCTAAAAACGGCCCTAAAATAATTTAA